TTTACACAAGCCAAAGCTAGTGATCGGGCCTTAGCAGATAAATTCTTATTACTAGCGATGTTCATACCTATGTTTTATTATATGCATTTTGTTTTATTATGTTTAAGAAAACTTATAGTTATTTACAAAGAATTGTTTCTATACACTATTGTAAACCCTCTCAGAAATGAAAGGAAACTTGTTGCCAGCAGTGGGAGGTACGAGTATGTCGGTTGTAAAATTAACATACATGTATATAGAAATTAACCATCGGAAAGTTTTCGATAAAGCCAGGCAACAATTATCATTTAAATTAACCTAGCATGAAAAAGCGTTAAAAGGTATATATCCTCGTAACAATTAAGTAACACTATCGCCAAAATTAACTTTGATTTAATATTTAAACAATACTAGTTTTTACGGATTTTATCGCGTATATTTAACTTTTTAGATACCGATGTTTCAAGTACTTTACGTCAAGTTACGGGGGAGACTGAGATGTTCATCGTTTAGATGTCATAGTTAGCCGAGATTACCATAGGTTAAAATTATTAATTTTTGTTCCGATTTATACAAAGACTACAATATTTTATAGATCTATATAGAAATTTAAAAAAATAATAATTTTAATCTATGTGCTCGAAACGTCGGGTATCTAAAAAGTTAAATATACGCGATAAAATACGTAAAAACTAGTATTATTTAAATGTGTAGATTCGCGTAAATATAAGAAATCATTTGATTTTGTAATCAATTAAAGTACTCTCTAATGATTTCTATATTCACACGAATGCTACACATTGAATAATACATACTTAAAATAATAATATTTACAATTAATGTTCATAACATACAATGTAAAAAAAACTAAATAAAATAATTTATAATAAAAAAGATTAGAGTTCATCATATAAAAATTGTATCAATAAAAAATTTCAAATGAAATAATAATAATACTACACATGGAATAATATATACGGAATACCAACTTTATGGATTTAATTATCGCACACAGGAAGTCTGCAGTTTGTGTATATGTTTAAGATATCCCCCGACATCAATCAGATTCGACAAACCACAAATCTTTGCGAAAATCACCAATTTTTACCAAGGATAATTCATGAATCCATTGAAATTAAAAAAAATCCAAATTTCAATTGAGAAAATGGCTGGGAGCTACCATATGCTTGTGATCATGAAATCCAATAAAACAAGCATTCATGGTACAATAAGCTCATTCATAGAACTAAAAAATAATATCTAAAAGCTGAAGGACGTCAAACACCTCAGTCACCCTTGGCTATGAGTGCTGTAAAACATCTGACACATCAACACATTAAACGCAAAAACATTCGTAGTTGTCTTTAATTTATAATACATTACTAGTAGTAACCTAACTTCAACTATGCTAAAAAAATTGAGCCATTATAGATACGATTTACGACAGTAGCCGTATAACGGTCTGGTCACGTCTATTTAGTTTTCTACTGCATAACTTCCCTTAATATTCCCAAACATTTTCACAAATTTATATTATTTATATTTATATAAGTAAGTTTTGTGATACTAATTGACAGACATATTTGCGGTCGACAAGCAAGTACACAGCCCACGTGATGGTAAATGGATGCTGTGGCCCATAGACATCTCTACATTTATCCTCAAATAAGAATCAAAATGCAAATGCATTGTCAAAGCCTGAAAAAAAAGTAAGATGGAATGCCTTGTTTCCAGTAAAAAGATTCTCCGATTCTCTGCACTCACCATGTGAAACACAGCAGCATTGAGCTGCTATTATACGCTGGTATTCACCTAATGTAAGTGTCATCTAAAATAGCTACTGCAGAAAGAGAACAAATATTCTAAGGATATTACTACACCCAGATAAGACTAAGCTACATTATGACCTCTGAGAACATAAATGAAATACCTTAAGAGCCTGGAACTATACTTGAGCCGTGTTAGCTCAGTAGCTAAGCACTCGCCGTGAATTTCACACCACGCAAACAGCCCGGGTTCGATCCCTCCCAGAAACAATGAAATTTTAATTGCAATTTTGAGTTCTAATTTAACACGTGCTAGGCAATAAAAAACATTGCTTGTAGATTATAAAATCTAAAATACTTTAATATTCGTGCTAAGTACTCTTACGGATATGAAATAGGTAAATCACAAATCTTTGAGAACACATATTAACGTTTCGAACACGGTCGGCTGCTTTCCGAAGTTTAACGCCATAAAACGTAATGGAATTTAGTTTAGTAGCGTCGGAGGAGAGCGGCAATTGTCAACACCCGTGCTCCCGTTTTGCATTTTATAACAACCATTTGGCGTTTCCGAACGCTTTGTTGACGGGGTAATGTGGCGATCAATTTTAAGCTTTTAAAATTTTCTTTATAATTCAAAAACACGTTCGAAAACGTTCGATTTAGGTATTGTTGTTTGTTCGAACTGTCCTGAGTTCCGACTTTTTTATAGAATAGGATGACAAACGAGCACACAGTCCACGTGATGGTAAGTGGATGCCGAGGCCCATAGACATCTACATTTATCCTCGATTAAGAATCAAAATGCAGATGCGTTGTCGTAAGTGAAGACTAAGATGAAATGCCTCATTTCCGGTAAATAGGGTCTCTGATTCTCTACACTAACCCGACGAAAAACAGGAGCATTGAGCTGCTACCCGTTGCAGCGTGGCTCTACATCGTAAAAAACTAACTGCCTGTTACATGTTTTTGAATACCCTAGCAGTAGTTTATTTTACAGTAATGTAAAGTAATTCACCGTACCGTGAGGGTGTAACAATCCCTTACCCCAAATCTTCCCGCGGGTGTCGTAAGAGATGACAAAGAGGAACAAACTAGAAAACGGACCACAAAGTATTCCCAATAACAACTTAAAATAAAATCTTTCTTGCCAAACCTGCCTGCCAAGCAGGCAACTATGGCAAATATCCCCTCCCCTCCTATTAGCAATCTATTGGCTTATATTCAGCAATGGACTTTTGATAGGTTATAAGGATAAGGGTAATGTAAAGCTACCTTCTATTAAGTATTTAGTTGGTTTACTTGATGTCATTTTCGTCGATTATTATTAAATATATAGGCAGTTGAAAGCTACGTTTCTATTTCGTCACTTTAATAATTGTTTGTAAAAACCGAATCAAAAATTTTCTTGGATATACATAAATTAAAAATTTTTACTAAATAAAGTGAAGGTATCTGAAGTAGAACCAAAGTAACCGACATAGTCCAACGAATCCGTAAGATGAAGTAACATTATGACATCTTAATATATGTAAATTACGTGTCACGTTGTTTGTCCGCGATGGACTTATAAACTACTTCACCGATTTTAATAAAATTTGCACACCGTGTGCAGTTTGGTCCAACTTGAGAGATAGGGTAGTTTTTATGCCCATGAGTGACCCATAATTTTTTCTGCGAATTTAAGGATTTTCAGTAGGACATGACAAAGGGTCGTCGAAAAGGGCAGAACAACGTCTGCCTGGCAAGCTAGTATACTTATAAGATAAAACATTTACTGAAAAAGATCATTATTTATTACTTCAAGAAAAGACATTTAAAAGTGATGCACTGCCAAATATTTTCGTGACACTTTATGATGTTTGCAGTTTTCGGTTGTTAAATTTAATTATGTAACGTACTAACGTAATTTAATTATGTGAAGTAACAATGAGCATGTTCAAAGATTTTCATAAATTCACATAGCTCAAAGGATTTATACGTGGTACAGTCATGCTGCAGCTATATTATGGTTGTAGCACGAATAGGTCGGTTCAGCACGGGACAGAACCACGCTCTCACTGAATGCTTAATGCTGCTGTGTTTCGTATGGTGAGTGTAGAGAACGGGAGATCCGTTTTACTAGAATCGAGACATTGCATCTTAGTCCTCAGGGTGACAACGCATCTGCATTTTGATTCTTAATCGAGGTTAAATGTAGATGTTTATGGGCCACAGCATCCACTTACCATCAGGTGAAATGTGTACTTGTTTGTCATCCTTACTCTAAATATAAAAAAGAACCAACAATATTGGGCAGAAAATACCTGGAGTGGCAGCCTCGTAAAGTTTAGTGGGTTGGTAGCTGCCTGACTAGATGTAATGACGGCCTGATAAGACATGCAAGAAGTCAATGGTTACAGGTGCCTCAAGACCGTGTTGGGTGCCATTCCTTTGGTGGGGCCCTATATTCAGCTGTAGACTTGTTAGGTAATAATGGTGATGATGATGATGAATTCAACAAACATTTGTTTTTGGCGGTGACTTCACTGCCAGAGGATTATAGATAATAGTCACTAAGTTATCACTACTTTGAAGTATGAAAATCCAAGCCTTAAATAATAATTGAAAATGAATTTCGGTAGGTGTGGCATTAAACTATACAAAAGGGATTTTAACTGACGCAGAACATAATAACATTTCATAAAATGAGCTAAATTATATTTTTATTATTTTAACAAACTAGAGAATTTTACTAAATGACACTTAAGAATACATAACACTACACCGCGACATTGTTTAAAACACGGAAGATTTTTGAAACATATTTGTGTACGTTTACCCGAGAATTATTTAACTTAACCAATTTTCATTGCGTATAACATAAAATACTTCCTCATTCACACGCATGATAAATTAATCAATTTATGCTTGTAATTAGTGAAATAAATGACACGTGTGACAGATAAAACAACGTCATTGTCATGGTTGAATGTAAATGAACCAATTTGTCGCACGTTTCGTGTAGCGCCACGCGCTTGGCTCACTGACGGCATAAAATTACCATTTGGCACATACTTACCTCACTATGCCATGAAGCAATTCTGTGGAAAATTTGAAAAACATGCAATATTATACATTTATGTTTTGAATAATTTATGAATGAAATCCGCTATCTAATATGTCATTCAGAAACTTTGTCTATTAACATTCTTCATAAAAAACATATGCAAATTGACAACATTTTTCACAAACAACGTGGTTTTAGGCGCATAAATGGCCACAGTAAATAACAAAGGAAGGAGAAAGATGTGCGCGTGAGTGCGTATCTATAGAAAAGCACAGCTTCGGCATCACCCCGTCATCAATGCCCGCAGAGCTCTATATTTGTTGGGCCAAATCAATAGTTTATTTTTATTGGAGAGGGATGTCAAACGAATACACAGTCCACCTGATGGTAAGTGTTTGCTGTGGCCCATAGACATCTACATCTATCCCCCGATTACGAATCAAAATGCAAATGCGTTGTCAACCGTGAGGACTAAGATGAAGGCCTCGTTTCCAGTAAAAAGGGTCTCTGGTTCTCTACACTATTCATACGAAACACAGCAGCATTAAGCTGCTATTTTATGCTGGTATTCAGTAAAAGCGTGGTCCTTCACCGGTTGAGTCGACCTATCCGTGCTACATACTGCTAGAAGAGCTATCTAACACGTAACAATAATAATAATAATATAAGCGTATTATAGGCGTAGGGAAGTGACGACCCCATCGCCCGCTGACGTAACGGTTACGTGACAAAACCACTACGTGAGCGCAGTCAGTCAGCACCTTGCCAAGAGGTGTTAGTGCCGTGCCTCGGCATAAGTTGAAGGTGCAAAGGCCCACTTGTGCACATGGTCTCACCATGAAACGGCGCCGGGTCTGGGCGTATCCCGTTGAATGACGCCCATTAAAATGGATGATGGAATTTAAAAGAAAGCGCAAAGGGCCGTTGCCTGGGGGTCGCCGGGGCGCGTCTGGAGCTGGCGCTGGACGTGACAGCATGCGAACCGCCAGCCGAGCGCGAGGTGCTGCTCGACCACCTAGTAGTCCCTCGCATCCATCATCCCCACCAGAAGGCTTGGTGACGGCAGGATCTTCGCGGGCCCAGCAATCGGCACCCGCCACTGGTGGAATATGCCGCATGCGTTGGACAATCTCAATGAATAGCAACGCATTTCGGGCGTATTATAGGGCGATAGGGGGAGAAATTGGAGGTTTTGTGCATCGGGTAAGGATGCATCGACTTTTTACTGAGCTGGAGCCATCTGTAACCGTCACCGAGCAAAACCTGGCAGAGCGAGTTCGGTATATCTTGCGCTCAAATATATTTGATGACGCCGAACTCGAACGGCTACGACGTGAGGCTGTTCCCTCATCAAATGAAAATGCTACGGCTGAGGATGCGGTGCCACAAGTTGCAGAACATCCCGCACACGTGGATACCGCCGTGAATACCCCAGTGGTGGCTGATTCAAATGATGATGGAACATTCGCCCAGGAACTAGAAATGGAGCAAATGATGTACTCCACATTGGAAGAGACGATTATAGAAACGCGCAGTACGCCTCTCGAAAATCGACCGCGACTTCCCCGCATAGCCCTAAGCCAGCCGGGACCTTTGCAATACGGACTCAATTCTTTTTGGCGCCGCGCTGGCAGTCTGCCGTATCATAGGCGCCAAGGTTTCTACGGCTGGCCGCGCTACTGGCCAAAGTAGCGCTATCCCAGCATAGAGAAAAATAATTGAGGAGCGTATCGCAAAAGGCTAGAGCTCTCATCGGCAGACTGATATGCTTCAGGTCAGGCAATAACAGATCAAGAATTGTGCGCACCGTCAGGATGACATTTGCTGGGACAAATGTTAGTTTGTTCCAGCTAGATATAATGCAAAAACAGACGGAGCGCATAGATGATCTGAAGCAGAGAATCGCTGCTTGGGGAAAGCGGATTCGGCGATATACCGAGAGGTCGACTCGGTTTAACCAGAATCGTCTCTTCCAGAGTGATCAGAAGAGGCTCTATAAATCATTGGAGCGACCAATGGCAAGTGGAACGGGCCCAGCACCGAATCAGGCCGACACTGTAACATTCTGACGCGGCCTATGGCCAGAGCCCGTAAACCACAGCGAGGGCTCTTGGACATAAGTTGTGGCGGGTCAGTGTGCGAGTATAACGCCCATGGACCCCGTTATTATAACACCGGATGACGTAGTCGAGGCGGTCCGTAGGGCCCCGAACTGGAAAAGTCCGGGACTCAACGGGCTGCATTACTACTGGCTGAAGGGGTTTGTGGTGCGTCACACTGTACTTGCCCGACAGTTCCAAGAGGCTCTCAACCAGAAGTCACTCCCGAGCCTCTTCACTACTGGGATCACTCATTTAGTTCCTAAAGACCATGATACCACAGACTCGAGCAAATACTGCCCCATCACGTGTCTACCGACTGTATACAAGACACTAACATCCATTTTGAGCGCGAGAATCACTCGTCACCTGGACTCAAATCAGGTGATGTCGCGCGCTCAAAATGGATTTCGAGGCGGTGGTCGTGGAACCAAGGAACCACTTCTCATTGACGCGGTCATTGGCAAAGTGGTGAAACGCAACCGTCGGAACTTCTCCGCCGCTAGGATAGACTACAGAAAGACATTCGACTCAGTGCCCCATACATGGCTAAAGAGAGTCCTCGACTTGTAAAAGATAGACTGTACAGTTAGAGACTTCCTCAAGGAATGTATGGGGTAATGGAGTACGATCCTTTGTCATCTGGGCGAGCGGATGATGGCTGCGGAAAGCCACATAAGGATGAGAAGGGGTATCTTCCAGGGCGATTGTCTGAGTCCAATCTGGTTCTGCCTCTCTCTGAACCCTCTCAGTACTTTACTGGAGGGCTCCGGGAGGGGTTTTCAGCTTCGGAAAGGAGGCACAAAAGTACAAAAGTACCCACCTTTTTTATATGGATGACCTCAACTTATTCGCCTCCTGTCGCTCCCATCTTGTGGAATTGCTAAACATCACTTGTGAATTTAGCAATTCTATTGGAATGGAGCTGGGGACGGATAAATGTGCGGTCCTCCATGCTGAAAGGGGAAGGATTGCTAACTCTGAGGACATAGACCTTACCTATGCCCATCAGTTTAAGGACCCTTTCCGTGGCTGAAACATACCGATACCTGGGTGTGTCACAGAACATCGGTATCGATGAGGCTGGTATGAAACAGTCTGTTTGCGACGTGTTTTATGCACGCTTGACCAAAGTGCTCAACAGCCTTTTGTCTGGTGTGAATAAGACACACGCATGTAATGGTTGGGTCATTCCTGTCCTTACGTATACCTTTGGCATACTCAGGTGGACTCAGACTGAACTTAACGCCCTGGATAGAAAAGCCCGCACTACTATGACGTCCCATAGGATGCATCATCCGAGCTCGACGGTAATGAGGCTGTACTTGCTGCGAAAGCACGGTGGGCGTGGCTTTTTGAGCGCGCTCACCATGAATAATCGCGAAGTGTGCAGCCTACGTAATTACTTCCTGGTGAGATCGGATGATCCATTCTATAAAGACGTCATTTCTTGTGATAAAGGACTTACCCCTCTATCCTTAGCCAACGAGCAATGGCAAGAGCCGGCAGTGCAGAGCATTTCTGACCGGGAGACCGTATGGAAGGAGAAGGAGCTCCACGGGAGATTCTACAAGGCCCTACATGAGCCTTTCGTAGACATAGTAGCCTCCCTCTACTGGTTACGTTTTGGTGACCTCTTCGGGGGAAACCGAGGGTTTTGTCTGTGCAATACAGGATCAGGTTATTAAGACCAACAACTATCGGAGATACATCCTAAAGGATGGCACCGTCGACATCTGTCGAGCTTGTCGCCATCCCGGCGAATTACTTAGGCATGTCATCTCCGGTTGTTTGGCGCTTTCTAACTCTGAGTACTTGCACAGGCACAACCTAGTAGCCAGAATTCTTCACCAGGAGCTCGCTCTGAAATACGGTCTCGTGGACCGGAAATTGCCATATTACAAGTACTTGCCGGAAGGCCGTGCTCGAAAATGATCACGCCAGGCTCTACTGGGACCGGGTCATCATCACAGATAGGACTATTCTTACGAATAAGGCTGATATTATGCTGATGGACCGGGCACAGTCAAGGATATTTTTGGTCGACATTACCATTCCGTATGACGAGAACCTCGTGAAAGCCGAAACAGAAAAACGAACAAAATATCTGGACCTGGCTCTCGAGGTGACCGACATGTGGGGTGGTCTGCCGACTGAAATTATTCCTGTAGTCGTCTCTGCAAACGGGCTAATCCCAGTCAGCCTCTCGGGTCATCTGAGGAGGCTGGGACTCCGAGACGGACCGCTCCAGGCTCAAATGCAGAAGGCGGTGCTCCTCGATACCGCCCGCATCGTCCGCCGGTTTCTCTCACTTTCCCCCTAACCCTCGGCCGTTTGATCTCCCCTGCCGAGGGACTCCATCTGGTTCGGCTTTTATTTATTTATGAATTACTTATTTATTTGTGCTGGTATATGAAATATATATTTATGTATATTTATCATTTCCTTTTATATATTTATTCAGCCCAACCAGATGAGAATACACTACTAATACCACATAATAATAATAAAATAGTAGTAGTAAAATAGTAAGTAAATTCGTTTATTTTCCAACGTTTGTAAAGCTATATATCCATATATCCTATCTTTATTTGCAATAAATTTCCTGTATAATGATGCCATGACCGTTAAGTGGCGGTGTATATCCACCACCCCGTATAGTCCCGTGTGTACCGTAAGATTCGACAGAGGGGAATCGAAACAGCTGATGGACAGCAGCAACTTCCTGATAGCAACTTTTTGCGATTGACAACCCGCTCGCCAGGCGTGTCAACTAAGACGAAATCTATATGAGGCAATTTATGGGGGAGGCCTGTGTTCAGCAGTGGACTATAGGCTCTAATGGAATGGAAATAATAATAATAATGTCCTCCAGACCGGATTTCGGCCACGGCGGCCTGCCTCAACGGAGGCTAGCCATCGGCGCAGGACAGGATTATACTGCCCAAGTGTATGCGCAAGCACAAGTGCACTCTCTATTCCCTCACTCTCACAATCCGATGGGACGGTAAACTGACACGACCGGGAGAGATCAGGCGCAGGACCAACGGCTTTACGTGCTTTCCGAGGCACGGGGGTGAGACACCACCAGTTTCCTGACTCCGGGCAGCTACTGAGAATTTCTTGACAGAAAAACTAAATAATTGATTTTTTGGCCCGACCCGGGATTCGAACTCAGGACCTCTAGTGGTTGTAGTAGTCGCTCTACTACAACCAATAGACCAACGATGCAACGAAGCAGAAATGGAAATACGGTGATGCTGTAAAGCAGTGGTGTATGATATAACATCATCACCAAGAAGATGGGGAGCAGCATATACCTGACTCAATAATAATATAGAAAACTGCGTTTGCCAACCAGCCTTGTGTGCGGGCAAATCAAAGCAAATATCCCCTCTGATTCAATCTTTAGAAAGTGAACATTTGATGGGCTGTGATTAATGAAAGAATAAATAACAAGAATTTTGTCTTTAGTCTTACTTAGTTTACTCTTTTTTAAAAGGGTGACGACGCACCTGAAATTCCCCTGGTATTTCAGTTGTTCACGGGCCGCGTTAGTCACTTACCCCTTCATTTATCCCTTCTTATATTTAAAAAAAATCTCTTCACTAGTACTATCTTATCAATAGTAGGTATTCATTGAGCCTTAATAGTAATATAATTTAATAATTTAAAACGAGATAAAATACGTAAAATTCGTATTACTTAATTTGAACCAGTACAGGATCGCGGAATTAAATTGCAACAGTCTTCAGAACCGCCAGGTAAAAGGTTAAGAACAGCTGTTCTACAGCGTTATACAAATGTACACCGAGAAACACGCGTAGCAGCCATTAAAAGCCATATTTTTGAGATGTCTGGTCAGTTTCACGCATCAGGCCCCAGTACAATAGCACTGTATTGGCAAAAGGAAGGGCGTGTTTCACCTAAAGAATATTACCTACCGTATACGCCTGAAAATGATATGTCAAGGCCATCAAATATGGACCAGGCTTTCAAAAAACAACCTTTGTTTTGCTACAATAGCGACTCGCTATTCAGGTAATCACACGAGATCTACAATTTTTTTTTTCTTTATCAATACCGTAATAGTACAAGACATGGGCCGCTACCATAGAGCCATTGTCATAATCACTATGGGTGCGTTTGGCAGAAAAAAGCGCTAGCAAGCGCTTACAAGCGCTAAAATAGTTTTCGGCCAGGACACGATTGCTACTTCAGTAGCGCTGACACAATCAGCCATTTTGCTTATTTAATTTGTTTGTTTTTAAGTAAAGTTTATAAGTTGTTTTGTGCAATATTAGTTTAAAGTAATATAATGACATGAATAAACATATACATGTTACTAAAAATTCATGATTGGTAGGTTTTTAATACGAATACTTTACAAACATATATTTAAATTAGGTTAGGTTCCCCGGTTAAAACTAACATCGTGTCCTAGAGGAAAATAGCTACTTACGATTTGACAGCACTTACCGCTTACGATCGCCATTTTGCTTACAAGCGCTTGCTAGCGCTTTTTTCTGCCAAACGCACCCTATGATTCGCAAATGAATTGCTAACCATAACACCAGACGCATTACCTATAAG